AATTTTACGGAATACAGTGCTAATTTTACTAGTATACAGTGCTAACTTTATAGAAATACAATACAATCGTATTAGTACACAGTGCAATTTTACGAGTAAAATTGCACTGTATACTAATACGATTCCGTAAAATTGCACTGTATACTCTGGCACCCCTGATTCGACGGCTCTAGCTTTCGTTTGTCGGTTTGACTCGTTCGAAATCCAGAGTAGCATTGACTAGAAGCATGACGGACCCCCCCCCCCCCTCACCACTGACACACACACCTGCCAAATCAACAGACCTAACATGGCCTCTTTGTTTGTACATGTATCTAGAAACATGCTACTGTAACAGTGTTATCTAGCTTTTTATCTTCAATTAGACACGACTGTGAAACCCTGAGTGTACGTACCGGAACATTCACACAAAACATTTCCTTGAAAACACTGATGTTTATCTTTTAACACACAAAGTCAAAGTTCCATCGGTCAATAAAAGACAAAAGATCGGAAAAACATGGCGCCCACCCCTAGGCATTCCAGAAAATAGTCGGAAAGAACAATACGAAACAACAATGTGAATATGTGCATATTAGAAGTTCCACAGAAATATAGAAATATGCCAAATACAATTGCAATCTATTATAGATGCTTGATAGTGGCGCATCGTTTATGATTTTTAATCATCCTTCACTCTCTCAAAATATCTTATCAGATCGCTGTAGGAGTAGAATTGTCCTTGTGTCATCCCATACGGATACAGAGACGGATAACGTAAAGTACACATAGACAAATAGACGAGTGGCGAAATTGTCTTTTCTGCAGCTTGTACGATGGGCGCGTCCACTTGGTCCTGGCTGGCGGGGGTGTTGCTTCTCCAAGCTGCCCAGTACACTGAAGGTGCCGGTGAGTTGACATTGGTTTCCTACTTGATGTACTGTATTAGAGTCTATGTGTAGTCCAAACCGAATGTTTAAAAGCGTATTTCTGAAATTTTTAGGAAATCACTTACTAGTATTTGTCCTAATGAAAGCGTTTGCCAAGACATTAAGGCCATGTTGATTTGATTATATGGATGACATCCTCTGGGAACCCCAAAACTGATGTGCGCGTGCGAATAAAAAAAACGTTTTGCAAAAAAAAAAAAAAGTTGCTTTCACTATGAAATCTACGTGGTCATGAAGGTTGAACAAATGGCACAGAATATGAAATGGTGAATAATCTACTCTTCGAATTCATTTCTTTACATTTTTGTCTTTTTTCCTTTGATTTTGGCATTCTACGACATTGGTATCGTTTCTAAATGTTTTCCTTGCAACTTATGGTATATTTTTGCTCATTTAGCAACTGTTTTGCACGATTTACAGTATGGTTGAAAACTTTTTTTTTTTTGGAAACGGCCGAAAATTCATGCGCGCGCGGATGTCATCCATATAATCAAATCAACATGGCCTAACTAGTGATAAACTGGGAGCATTTTTAGGCTATAGGATGACTTAAAGAATAAGAGGTCTTTATGTAGTGTAAAAGATAGGCAGCTTATGTCGTCAACGTGTGTCTTTTCGGCTTGCAGGAGGGGCTGGTTGGACTTACAGTGGAGACACAGGTAACGGATTTCGATTTTCATTACCATTTTTATCATTTTTCAGTAACAGTTCCGTGTCGAAAATATGCAAATGCTCTACGACCACCAATTGTCGTTAAAAAACATAAACCTTCAGTACTAGTTCTGTTTTTATTTTCCTTGCTTGTTTTAATTTATTATATATTCGCCCAGAGACGTGTTTTTCTTTTCCCGTGAAAAAGGCCCCGATCACTGGGCGAATGCTAACAACAGTTGCGGCGGGGATTCCCAATCACCCATCAACATTCAGTACTCGGCGGCGACGAACATGAACTACCCAGCCTTCACGTTCCAGGGCTACAGCAGCGTACCGACAGGCGCAACCATGACCCTCTACAACACTGGACATGCCAGTAGGTAGCAGTAAAATGACTACAGATCCTTGTGCTCACTTAACTTGACCACTGATAGAGAAGTATCATAGGAAACTTTGTCAACTGTTTGTAAAAAGTCGCATCATTTTTGTGTGTGTGAGTGTGAGTGAGTGAGTGAGTGAGTGAGTGAGTGAGTGGGTGAGTGAGTGAGTGAGTGAGTGAGTGAGTGGGTGAGTGAGTGAGTGAGTGAGTGTGTGAGTAAATGAGTGAGTGAGTGAGTGAGTGAGTGAGTGAGTGAGTGAGTGAGTGAGTGAGTGAGTGAGTGAGTGAGTGAGTGAGTGAGTGAGTGAGTGAATCCATGGGGATGTGCTGGTTCTGAAACGCGTTCTACTGTATCTACTATAGTGTTTTACATGCATACGAACGGGTTTGGCGGCTCTTCATAGACCTGGTATCGTGTATAGGCCAAAACATTGAATCCGAAATTGCAAAGCGTGTAACCTGTTTCTTCGCTGCTGTAGTTAACGTGAACCTGGGCGGCAGCGGTTTTTCCGTGTCCGGGGGCGGGTTGACGGGGACGTACAACACGGCACAGTTCCACTTCCACTGGGGAACCGCCGCCGACCTGGACGCCCGCGGTTCGGAACACACACTGGAGGGCCAGGATTATCCCGGCGAGGTAAGACAAGTTGTACTCGTACGATCTAGAGACTCGGACATTGGAACACTTCAACCAGATCTTTCGGTGGCCGCAAACACAGTATCAAATTGGACAGGCCGTATCCTTTCAATTTCCCAGATAGTTACCGAAGGCTGGCACATGTTACCAGGTTTAAATAGTTTATATATTAATATTGTTGTATTCTTTTTCCCTGTTTATACATGACCTGTACTTATTAGCGTGTGAGAGCACAAACGTACAATAAAGGTCTTTCATTCATTCATTCATAAACCTCTACTTGGAGAGTAGGAACACGATAAAAGCAGGCTTTTTCAAAATAATCTTTACAACATAGACTGACAACAAAGGTACGGCGTAGTCTCCTGACGCATTGACAATGTATATCCTCCTTCCTTTATTCTGTGCAGACTAGTGACTACTTCCTTTCTGTTTGCCTTCTGTAGGTTCACTTCGTGCACTACAGCGGAACTTACCCCAACCTTGGCGATGCCGTGGCGTCTGGTTCTCCCACAGCGCTGGCAGTGCTCGGCTTCTTCCTGGAGGTACAGTATAATCTCTGTTTTACTTCTGAGAAGATTGAGGATAAGCTAGCTAGCTTAGAAATTGTTACATCGCCCCAGGCTAGGTAGCTTTAGAATTGTTCTGTTTGTATCTGCAATGGCGCCGGTCTGAAACCTTTTTCTTTATGTTCAGCGATGTTATCGTTAAACCTGTTATCGTTCAAAGTCATGTGTGCCGTGCTTATCAGTGTGATCTACGTGTACAAAGGCCAACGCTAACGGGTATATTCTATATACTAGTACACATGTAGTATGCGTGGTGCTTCTGTTCTGTGCCTGAAATGTCTCTTTGGTGCGATTGATGCCCCAGCTTGACGACACTGACAACGCCGGTCTGAACCCCATCGTCAGCGACATAGCAAACGTTGCGAACGCGGGTAGGTCCATTTTTTCCAAAGATAACGATAAAGATAAGATAAATATTCTAAACATTCCACAAATGTACTTGAGCATAGACATGACATTTGCACCTAGTTTGTAGGATCTACTAATATTTGTACGTACATGTACACATACAGAGAAGTGTTTGGGCATTTTCTAAATGAAGTCCATCTTTTTTACGTTTCTTCTTTTCTTTTCTTCTCTTTCTTGCGTACTAGCACAAAGTCGATTCGGTATTATGACTGTGACAATAGAGGTATGATTGATAGTGGCCTTCCGGTAAGTCTCTTTACTTTCAAGCCTTTCCATTGTTGTGACAAATGCTTACTCTCCAAGCAGAGGTTTGGGTTTTGGGGGTATTTTTAGTGTGTTTTTAGGCTTTTTTTCGGGGTTTCTCTTTTGCACTGAATTTTTTTTCCCACCAAACCCAACCTCTGCAGGCAGTCGAAAGTTGGGTTTGGTGGGAAAAAAATTCAAACCTCTGCTTGGAGAGTAACAAATGCTTGTTACAGCAACATTGGAAAAGTACGTACCGTCCGTCCCCACAGGCAATGGCTCGGTGTTCAGCTCGGTCTTCACCTTCGACAGTTTCCTCCCGGCCAACAGGAGCAAGTTTTACCGCTACAGCGGCAGCCTGACCACCCCCGGCTGTAACGAGATAGTGGTATGGACCGTGTTCGAGGACACCATCAAGATATCCAGGAACCAGGTATGGTTACGTGTGCTCGTAACACGTTGAAGGAAAACTGAAAGTTTCCATATATGTAAACATAAAGAGAGCTAACATAGAGATCCAAAGAGGTTTCTGAGAGAACTAACAATTCAAGGATCAATTCATTTCAAAATCCCCAAAATGTAGAAAAAAAGGTACAGGTGGAAGACGTTGAGCGTCCAAAATTGAATTTTTATTACCTTCACTTGATCCATGCATGGTGTAAACGCACAATTTGGCAGACAACAAAACACAGAAACGTCCAAAATTCACTTCTTGAAGTTCTTCAACAATGAAATTCGTTCTGCGAGTGAGATTTTGGTCAGTATTATATATGATATGGTCACCACCTCAGTGGAAAGGGGGTACAGACAAAATGTTGACACCTGATTATGTGGTTTCCCGTCCTCAGCTGAGCGCGCTCCTGGGCGCCACCTACTACCAAGCCGAGGGGGGGAATCAACCGGCGGCGATGGCGAACAACTGGCGTCCCGTCCAGGCTCTGAACACGCGACAGGTGTACCGGTCGTTTCAGAAGAGCGGCACCTGGCGGATGTCACCTGCATGGCAGGTCATGGCCCTTGGTGTCCTCATTGCTGCAAGCTTCTGTCCCCAGTGTGCTCCGTGAACTCTAATAATCAATCATGGACACTTCGAGTAGCTCTACATCTTCTAGATTTCAGTACCTGAATGATCATTACAGTTATACAACAATGAACAACAAAACTAGCATTTGGTAAACCTTTGCAAACTTCTATTTGGCGTACTACTAGTATTAAGGACAACATTCCACACTACAGAGGCGAAATGCCAGAAGCTTATAGAAAAAGATTTTACGGTGATTTTATGAACGTCTAAACATCTAATTCATCAAGCCAGTCCACATAGGAACAACTTGTTGTTTTCTTCTGACATCAATATTTTATACCTTTAAAACATGGCCATAAAGATGAAAAACGCTCGACATATAATTGAAACTATTACAAGACATTCAAAAGTTGACGGAACGGCTACTCCTGTGAAAAGGTTGACGTTTTATTGTTTTATCTATAATGATTTTATTGTTGAATGTAATCAAGACTATGCAATCCTAATCTTTTTGACATCCTTTTTTTTATGACAAACAAGTAAACTATCGATTGAAAGACAGGTCGAAATCCATTTGTGATGCCACATCGATGGAATGTGTGGCAACTGTTATTATAACCCGAAGCTTTAACAGATAGGTTAACATTCCGTAATAATGTAGTGTTTGATTAAGTGCAGGGTAGTGATATCTCATCATCATTTTCTTTACTAATCTCCAAGCAGATGTTGAGGTGAAAAGGTATGACATTTCATGCAGCAAAAAAAAAAAACTCACAGATTTCCACCACAACGGCTGTTTTGATATTACCTTATTGTAGCTTGTTCGTAAAAGTTGGTAGATTCTATATCGGGTGCTATAAACATTTGAATTATATATATATATATAAGGTTTAATACTTACGTAACTTTACTTAGTTTTAAAGACAACTTGTTGTGCAACTGTGTACGATGTAATCATTACATTGCGAATTGTTGTACATTCATTTACAATGGTATGACGGGATGTGAATATTGTTGCATGTTCCTGACCAGACTATGTAGTATTTAGATAACTTTTAGCTTAATTTCCATTGCCATTGAAGAAAGAATAGAATAATCTAGAACAAAGATAAGTTGACTTCAATGCTGTATACTAAGACTATCTGTGTAATCCGAACCGTGTGTGCTTTATGTACTCTAGACTTAATATCGATCTGCTCCAATTCAGCTGGGATATGTGTACTCAAAGGGCCTAGAATCCCGGTCTTGTTATTAGTTTTAGTCGGCTTCCAAAACAGCGACTTTGGAAGCCAAAGCTAACATTCTAGGCAACATTAGTGCAGGTAACAGCTTAGCAAGATAGACTATGTGACAACAATGTCTCCGTGCTTTCAAATATTCGGTGGTCTAAATTTGAATTTGATGCCTCTAATTTTGCTGATAGATAAGTTTGTGTAACTTTTTAGCCGAGATCATAAAAATGTGGCAACGATGTCAAACTTCCTATCTCGGATCTCCACATGACTGACTCAGCTAGTTTATAGACACCTGAGCCTAAGCTGACTAAGCTATGTCTATTCATGATCATCCCTTCATACCGCATACTCATCACTTACAATGAAACTGATCCCTTAAGCTTGACTGAAAGCGCTATAAGCTGTCTTTGTCACGAAAAAACAACAACAAAACACGGCGCATAGCTGAACACTTAGGTTGTTAGTTTGTGTCCAGGACGTTCTATTTTTGAGACAATCTAGAAAACGGGTAAACCGGCCCTTCCATGACCATGGCGGTATTGGCTGGGCAATGATATTGATACCTCTTACCTAGACAGACGAAATGTTGTTGTCGAGTACGCGCGCGGTTGATGCGCATTTCAGAGGTTCGGGCAAATTAAGAGAGGGGCAACATGATAATTACATGGACAGAATTATTTAATATTTCACGCCTGTCTCATGTGTGGCAAGCTTGCTAACTTGCGCTGACCGTAGACTTTAACTACTAGGTCATACGGGTGTGATGAGATCATATCACAATCACTAATATATAGGATCACCAAAATTTTGTAAACCTTTATGTTCTGCAAAAAAGTTCGTAGGCACAACCATTGGATATACCTGTCATGACTGGTGCTAAAGTCCAGCTGGTGCCGAGCTTGACACAAATGACACCTGTAGTGTGCTCAGTGTGGGGGGCTGTTGGCTTTGTGTAAACCTACTTGACACTCTTTAGTTTGCAACATCAACACCAGGATATGTAGTCTGCTATTTGTAGTACACAGATAATACGGAATCAGGTAGCCTGGTCAAACCTGGTCCGAAGCCTTGACCTTCTAGTGTCCATTCTACTGCCCAGACCGCAGGCTAGGTGTAAGGATATACTGACCGCCAATGATGAACTTGTAACTTTTGAATCAATAAAGCTGTTAACAATAAGTACTCGTTGTAAATATTTTACTATATAATGAAGATATTTCCACTTATATCAAGTAATAGTTAAGGAAAATGGGTCAAATTTGTTCATCCCAGAATGACTGTTTATGTGAAGAACACACTGGCAGTTTTACAGTTTGTTGTGCAACATATAACATCCGCGAAATATATGATACAAACCGAACAAATTCAGGGCTTAACCAGTAATATTTACTAAGGGCTTGGGTCTCAGTTGTCATCTAAAAACCTGGTCTTACACACAGATACCCTAATGAGTACAGTATATCTTTCATAAAAACGTTCTATGACCCCAGACAATGTTGGTTTTAGATTCTATCTCCCTTCGGGCCAGTTGAATTAACCGTCCATGGTGACCTGCTTACATGTGAATAGATGAGCTCTGAACAAATAAACACCTCTTTATGTCTAGAGTTACAGTCGATTCAGTAGGTCACTGACCCCGGGAACAGTTTTACCAAGGACGTTTCAAAGGGGGGTGGGGGTGGGGGGCAGAATCGTCGGAAATGATGATAGAGTATCTGTGTTAGAACATCCATGCACATGCAGGCGTAATGTTTTGTTTTGGAGCTTTTCACAAAAAAATTAATTTCTGCCTTCGCTTACTCCGGATAGGTATTGTAGTTCAGGGCATGAAGTCATGTTGTTGAGGTATTTGTGACCTAAAAATTGAAATTGAAACTTTCTTGGAATATTTTCTGTTGAAAAATTTTCTGTTTTCCAAGTCAGTATAAGACACATTGTTGTAAAATATGTTTCAATATACCAATTTGGTACTGTTAAATAAAATTTGTAAAATGCAACAGATGGAATCCATAGCTATAGAGGTGAACATGGACGTACATATAGTGGTATATGCAAGGCTTGCAAACAACTGCGCACTTCGTGTGTGATCTCTTAGGCGGAGCAAAGGGGTTTGGCTTGTACAAGGGACGAAATGTCACAATCAATTATGTGTACATCATGGGAGGGACCAGCCAGAGATGGTCAGTATCAACGGACAGACCCACAGACCCACAGTGGGAGGCATGCAAATTGTGTCAACAGTACGAGTATTATGTTTGTGACAACACCGTAACAAGATGCCGAGTCAACAGAGGTCACAGAACCATCGATCCAACGCATTGATCCGTCCTCCTTTGACACATATATAGGACGACACCACTGAGAGTGTGCAGGAATTTCACATCTGAACTACGCGATTTCCCCACCGACTATTACAACGCATAACAATAAATAGTGTACGTAAACGTTGTAACTTAGTAGACTATACACTTTACTTGTTGGGCTCCCTTTAGTCGGCCAAAAAATTGGGAAAACCCAAATAACTCCCTAAATGGACCGCACCATCCCAGAGCCCGTGAGTGACGTATTTGACACTGAGGTCCCGTGTGCAAAACTTTTGGGCGTTGTCACAAGCACACCGGTACCTCACTTCTTCCTTCTGGAGACTTAAAACGCCAAGCTCACGATGTTGAACCAAGCGGCAGTCCTACCTACTCTTCTTCTCCTCGTCCTCGCCACCACGCCTTCGGCAGAAGGTAAGTTTTTGTCCTTAAATACACATCGTTTGTAACCGCAATACGTAAAGTAAAGCGGCGAGCAGGCATTTGTCATACGAAAGTTGTGAAAACACCCGGTGGATGTTTGGGGGAAGTTGTCAAGGATGTAGTCAGGGGAGGGGATGTGGTCGGCAATCTGTTCTAGAACTGCAGGGAAAAGTCACGTAGGAACATCGTACATCTTAAAACAGCTGACACCCGTCATGTAGTTCCTTTTGTGTCCCCATACTGTCATCAAGTCGTGCCGGAAAGAAGCCAGGAGCCTCCCCTGACTCTTGTCCTGTGACAGTATGACAGCCAGGAGCGTTATTTCTCTGTAGACAGAAAGCAGATTGAGAAGAACTCAATCTGCGACAAACCGTTTGAAACGATGAATATGAACATTACAGTAAATAATCCTGTCTCGTCGTTCCGATTGAACTAACTACCAAGTTATGTAACTATATAGCTAATTCCCATAACTGTTAACCCTCCCTACTGTAACCTTGCAGTTATCGATCTTCTGGTCTCTGAGCGCGAAGTTCACCTTCCCGGTGTAAAAATTTAACGGAGGTCGGCCTAACGGCACTGTTGTTTTGGGTCGGCTGTCTAGGGTGGAATCGCGTTGCCCCTAGCTGGCGAACGAACGACAGACCTCACGTCAAACAGGTCTGTGATACGACTTTAGCATTACCACGGCTAAGCAGCAAGAGTCTGGAGACTGTAGGGGTTAGGATGCTCCACCGCCGATGTCCTCGGAGCCTGGAATGTTTGTTCAATTCTTCTGTTTGGTGTCAGTGAGGGTGACGCGTCTACAGGGAAACCGCCGGTCTTTTCGCGTTACTAAATCTTTCCTCCAAGGCCGTCGCAAAATAAGGGCATATGTGCGATCATCGGACTACCTAAGGCTCGCATATCCAAAGACGGTGGTCAACGGAGTAAGCTAAAGGTAAACAGACTGCCCCAGGTCCTTGTGGAGGTGGTTTACCGTCACATGCCATGCGCGAAGGGCTTGTAGTTTTTTCTCAAGACTGTACGCAGAATGGCCCCATTGTTAGTAGACCACAGAAGACAAAAAAGTGTGTTCTGAGTTACGCTGTATACATCGATGCTCACTGTTTCTATTCGTAATGTAGTTGTAATATGTATTTAACAAAGCTCGGTTTGTGTCATTATATATAAATGTATATGAAGAAGTCTTCCTTGAAAACTTTTAAAAGCGAGAATTCCGAGGAAGGTGAACATTAGGGAGGGGCCGCGTGTCGTTGGGAAAAAAACAGAGATGAAAGTTGGTATTTCAAGTGCTGTTGTGCTGTCACTAGAAGGGGTGCGGGCTACATGTGCACCCCTGTGGGCAAAATATTCCCCTTATTTCCGCCAATTTTACTAGTTTCCAGCCCGGGAGCTCTGGTGGAACTAAAAAATAGCTATTGAAAAAAGCAGAAGATAAAATCCGAAACCGGATTACAATTGCGCACAAAACCGTTATAAAATGGTTTTCTGTTTCAGCTTTTAAAAACGGTCGACCAATCAGAGCACACAATTTCTTTGTCAACCACGTCATCTAACCTTCTTAACCCACTTACCACCGCTAGGGTTGCTTTCTCCTATAACAAAAAGAAAAAAGGATTGAAAGGGACATGGGGAGACGATATGAGAAGAACATGGGAAGACGGTGACCTCTTGGACACAATCCTTCGCTCCTGGGGTCCAAATTTGTCCCCCTCCCCTTGAATTAACAAAACTTGTTACAGGGACAGTTACTCGGACAACTTCATCCACAATCCACAACTTAATTAAGAAAAATAGCACACAGTCACACAAGAAAGGCAAGAACAATGGAGGCAGCCAAGCCGTGGAAGGAAAAAAATACATGACAAATTTAAAGCTATTATAACTTGATC